TTATATAATGATAGATAAAATATATTTAAAAATAATTTACAAAATATTCATAAAAATCGTATTTAAAATATTTTTAATTTAATGTTTTTATTTACTAAAACAGATAGTGATTATATTTAAAAATGATGTGTTTAGATTTAGTATGTTTTAAATTTTGTTTTTTAATGTATTAGGAAAGATAGTCAATATTTTATGATTTAATAAATATGTTTACAATTATGATATAATATATTAATTATTCTTATTATTATTATAAATCATTATTCCAATTATTCTCATTCTACATTATTTAATATCTTCTTTATTTATTGTTCAAGACTTCTTTTAATTCTGTATTCGCTTTGCTTTTAATGGCTTTTTCTAATATATCATAGAAGTTTATTCCATGATATTCAGATAAATACAAAAGTTCACATCTACTTTTTATATGAATTAAATTCAATAAAAACATATATTTAAGATTATTTGGTAAATTCATAAATCCGTAAGTTTTCTTTGATTTTATTTTTAATATCGATAATTTGTTATTTCTTTCCGTGTCTGAATTAACGCTTTATTGATATTTCCCATTATTTTTAATTGCTATGTCCAAACATGATCTATAAAATATAAATAAAAATCCTTTTTCTATGTATATTAAAAAATTATGAACATAAAAATATTTTAAAGCTGAATATTTTTTTTGATGTGTATTTATAAAAAAAAACAATACTGATGTTTTAATTCAAGCATATTTACAAATTATGTCAAATTTTTTTTGTTTATACACAACATAGATTTGTCATTATATTTACTATCTAATATTATATCGTTTACTTTTTTTAGTTTATTTATAAAATAATTATTTTAAATGTTACACATTTTAAAATAATTTATTTCAAATTCAACTTTTTTAACACTTTTTCAACCTCAACTTATACTCTTATTCTATTTTTTAATACCTCAAACTAAATACAACTATTCGACTTTCAAGCTAAAATTACTTTAATTATATACATTGTTGAATTAGTTCATAAACTGTCAATGATTAGCTTAGATCAACCAATATTTCTCAAAGATTGCTTTAAGTGATTATAATGATTATATTAAATTAATATTGATAAATCAAATTACTTTAGATAGATGTTATCCTAAAAATAAGAATGTTTGATTGTATTATGATTATTAAAACGTTTGATAGTTGCTATTTTTAAAACAATCAATCAATTAATTTAATTATTTTATAATAAATATTCACTAATTTGCTTGATATTTTGGAAACTAATCAATGATATATATATTTACCTTATAGCTAATCATGCATGATTAGGAAGTAGTAATTTCTTTGACTGATCCTCCAAAATAATTGGGGGCCTTTAATTTTATGATGATATTAGGACAAGTACTTATTGAAATTATTTCAAAAGGAATTTTGATTGATAATAATAAATTTTATCCTTTAGTTATTTGGAATATTATTCCTTGATAATTGCATTAACTATAGAATTTAACTGTTAAACAATTATTAAGAAAGAGTACTTTTATATTAGAAACTGTTGGTTGGAAATTTGCAGATTAAATGTTTGTAAATTCATCACATTGCTAAGTTTAAATAACTGATTGCTTCACTCCTTAATAGTTTACCATACCAAATAAAAATAATATACTGTATTTTGGAATACTAATGGAACGAATCGGTTTAGACCACTCTAAAGCTTACAAATCAGGTACTTTGTCGCATATAATTATGGTATCACCATTGAAATCCCTTTCAAAAAAGAGCTCAGCACAATACGGATCAAAAGCTTTATAATTTAGATCATATATAAAATAGCTCCTTAATAGTAAACTCTTTATATTACAGAAGTTGACCCTAAGTATATAGTTAGAAAGTCTCTATTTATCAAAATATATATTGAATTATTATTATTTTTTATTTTGTAAAAATAAATGACTTATTTTTTCTACATTAAATGCAACATTTGTATATTTTAATCGAATATTGGCAGCATTGTTAATATCATACCCTCTAAGTGATATAAGAGGAATAAGTTGGTAGTTTCCCAAAATCTATGGTCGGTTTATTGTCATTTAAAGATCACATTCACCCTCCCCTCTAGAAACAAATGGATGATTTTGAGCATTAATTAAAGCCTACTTAGGAGATGACCATAATGATTGGCTGGTTCCCAGAAGAACATTAAATTTAATAAATTTCAATTAAGATTATAAATATGACCTTGATACAATAGTAATAGATTAGGTTATCTCTTCAATCTAATATTAAAAAATATAAAAAATTTACATCTATTTCAATGATAGAACTATAAGCCGAATGTTTGATGCCAATTAGTGATATTATACCATTTGTTGCATCCTCTAAATTATGGTCAATCTTGCATTATACTTCCCTTTCACCTGAACAAGTTTTTAATTATTAAACCTCCCATGTTTCGAATGTGATAACTAGAATTCTAGGATCATTAATAGCAATCCAATAAAAATGTAATTCAAATAGAGAGGATGGGGCTACTGCAATACTACTTATTTTGAATCCTTTCAATTATTTATCATAATTAATTACTAGTTGTTGTGATTGAGCTAACTCTTCCTATAAACCCACCGAAAAGGGTTTAGTACCAATCAATACATGATGTTTGAATAAAAACTTAAGGTGCAAATTAAACAACAATAGAGAATTGACTATCAATCACTACTTATCTTGGGACTGTGGATTAGGTTTCTAAAATATGTCCAGTCTTAAAAATCACTATGACTTGATGTCCCTAATTAAACTAAGGTGTCCAAAAAGATTAAACTAACTACAATAATGCAATAAGAACTATAAGCTTAATAAAAAAGTATTAATTATATATTAGATTTCTCAAAAATTTATTTAACAACTTTATCATAATTTATGATCTTATGAAGCAATATTAAGTATCAGGACAAAGTTATAAAAAGATAAATGAAAAAATACAATATTTAAAAACATTAAAATTTACCAAAATATTTTAAGTCCATTTTGTTTTGGATTTCTAATGATTCATTCTGTTATTATTATTATCATTTAAGTGATTTTTATCAATTATTAATATTAATATCAATAATGAAAAAATTAATACTTGATTTAAATGATCTTGAAACATAAAGTAAAAATTAAGAATCAAAGCTCAATAAATTATTTCTTGAATTAGATGAAATTTTCAACAAAAAATATGATATTCTTCATCCATAAAACCCAAAAACAAATTTACTTTTAAGAATTCGACCAGAACTTTTTGCACTAATCTTAGAGTTTTTGGATTTAAAGACCTGCTTTAGATTTCGATTAGTAAGTGGACGTGCAAATATATGTGTTATTATATCTTTACATTAAAAAATAAAACAGTTGCATGATTTATCGAAAAATTTAGAATATGAATTAAATGAATAACAATAAAAGTATTCATAAGATATCATTAATCAGAACTTATTGACAATACAATAAAATGCCCAAAATAGTTTAACATAACTAAGCAAAGTAGCAATTGATGAAATACGAATGTATTCAAGACCGCCTTAAGTTGTATAAAAAGTAATTTCATTAGTTTGTATCCTTTTGGATTCAAATATAAAAAATTATTAAGAAAATTGGTCAGATTGCTAAAAGATTCTTAAAGAACCTATGACCTTATTGAATAAACTTTTACAATTATAAATAGATAATATTTCAGATTAATAATTAAAATTACTTTAAGCCATCCATAATGTTGAAGCTTAATAAGTTTAAAATATATCTACCAGCTGCTATGGTTTTTATCTATATTTATAATCAATTGTTGAATTAAGAGAATCTAAATATTACATTGTAAAGAATTAAAAATTACATTTAGAGAAATAAATTAAATCAAATACAAATCTGATCGAAAAATTATAAAAAATTACAAAATGAGAAAGATTATTTGTTTTATATATAAATAACGTATTTATTTTCGTTTTTTGCACTTATATTATATTTATAATTTCAATCAACAGAAACAAGAATTAACATGTAATAAAAAAATATTTTGTAATCTCTGTAAACTATTTACTAAATGTTTTTAACAATTAGAATTTTATATAGAATAAGCTGCATATTAAGGAAGGAACGAAGATCTTCAAACTTTGTAATTAAAGTATATTATATAATGTTATATTTATTCCCCTTTGTTTTCTATTTGTTACCTAATAAGAAATTTCTATTAGTTTATTAATTAAATTTATTTAATAAAAATAGATTTTGAATTTGCATCATGAATATTATATATAATTATTTACAATTTTTTGATTATAATATAGCATTGATTAGGAGGAGTTAACTTAGCGAATAATTATTTATTAGTTGGATAAATTTTCTTCTTCGAAAGCTAATTTGGGTGGTTACCTAGGACATTAATAGAAAATTGATCAGTATAATTTATTTCATTCATATTCTCAATAGTAAATTTCGAAATTATAACTATTCTAAATATGAAGATACTCGCTTATGTTAATAGAACCAAAGTAAAGATAGTGTTTCAATAAGTTAGTTGTAAAATATTTTATTAATGAAAGTCATATTCAAATTTATTCAATTAATTCATTTTTAAGATATCTCATAAATTTCTAATCAGTTAATTACAAAATAAAAATTCTCTAATCCTTAAAAATTTTAAATAATTATAAGATAAAAAAATGTAAAAATAAAAGGTTATATATATGAATTACAAAAAATAAAACATTTCCAATAAATATTTAATTTTCATTTTGATCCAAATTTAAACAGTATTTCATTCAAGCCTTTATTCAAATATTTTCATAAAAATTTTGATTAAAATTAGTTAATTATAACTAAAAAGCAAAAAGAAAGTTCTGAGCAAGAAAGAACAATTTAGTTTTATGTGATATGCCTAATAATTGATGTAAATGTAAATTAATTAAATTATATGAAGACTTTTTTTAAGAGTTATGCATACTTAATATTCCATTAGTATGATTTTAAATTTTTTCATAATATCAATTTGAATGATAATTACTTGATTAATTTATATAATTTGTACATTTTGTTTGTCTTTATTAAACACATTAAGCATGATTTATTATATATGGTATAATTACTTTAATTCAATAAATAACGATTAGAAGAATACATTTCACCAAATATTAAATTTTAATTCAAATAATTCTTTTATAAATATATATGAAATATTAAAAAAAACTTCTATTTATAAAATATTTGATATAATATAATGATTGTATTTTTAACATTAGCTTAGATAACTTATCAAAAGATTATATATAATTTTGATGCAAATTTGGATGATCCAGATGGTATTTTGGTTAAATAGATATATTAGATTGGTCATATAATCATGATANTCAAACTTTGTAATTAAAGTATATTATATAATGTTATATTTATTCCCCTTTGTTTTCTATTTGTTACCTAATAAGAAATTTCTATTAGTTTATTAATTAAATTTATTTAATAAAAATAGATTTTGAATTTGCATCATGAATATTATATATAATTATTTACAATTTTTTGATTATAATATAGCATTGATTAGGAGGAGTTAACTTAGCGAATAATTATTTATTAGTTGGATAAATTTTCTTCTTCGAAAGCTAATTTGGGTGGTTACCTAGGACATTAATAGAAAATTGATCAGTATAATTTATTTCATTCATATTCTCAATAGTAAATTTCGAAATTATAACTATTCTAAATATGAAGATACTCGCTTATGTTAATAGAACCAAAGTAAAGATAGTGTTTCAATAAGTTAGTTGTAAAATATTTTATTAATGAAAGTCATATTCAAATTTATTCAATTAATTCATTTTTAAGATATCTCATAAATTTCTAATCAGTTAATTACAAAATAAAAATTCTCTAATCCTTAAAAATTTTAAATAATTATAAGATAAAAAAATGTAAAAATAAAAGGTTATATATATGAATTACAAAAAATAAAACATTTCCAATAAATATTTAATTTTCATTTTGATCCAAATTTAAACAGTATTTCATTCAAGCCTTTATTCAAATATTTTCATAAAAATTTTGATTAAAATTAGTTAATTATAACTAAAAAGCAAAAAGAAAGTTCTGAGCAAGAAAGAACAATTTAGTTTTATGTGATATGCCTAATAATTGATGTAAATGTAAATTAATTAAATTATATGAAGACTTTTTTTAAGAGTTATGCATACTTAATATTCCATTAGTATGATTTTAAATTTTTTCATAATATCAATTTGAATGATAATTACTTGATTAATTTATATAATTTGTACATTTTGTTTGTCTTTATTAAACACATTAAGCATGATTTATTATATATGGTATAATTACTTTAATTCAATAAATAACGATTAGAAGAATACATTTCACCAAATATTAAATTTTAATTCAAATAATTCTTTTATAAATATATATGAAATATTAAAAAAAACTTCTATTTATAAAATATTTGATATAATATAATGATTGTATTTTTAACATTAGCTTAGATAACTTATCAAAAGATTATATATAATTTTGATGCAAATTTGGATGATCCAGATGGTATTTTGGTTAAATAGATATATTAGATTGGTCATATAATCATGATATTAATGATTTCGAAACTTGTGATAACATTTAATTTTTTGGGTCCCCCTTAGATGAGTCTGTAATTAGTAGATTATTTTTAAATCTAGAATCACATTCTGCAATTTAGGTGGTAGCCTATTTTCTAATGTAATGTTTATTAATTTCAAAAGTTTTCATCCATATGATAATGTTTAATTATTTATAGATGACACACCTATAGAATATGAAGAAACAAATATTGAATATTCTAATTATACCTGTGGATCCATATTTTTATCAACTATTTCTATAATTCATTAGCATAATAGAAGATCAGGTTGGATAAAAATATTGTAACCTATAGGAGGAATAATTAGCTTGTAATTGAGTATCATGAATTGTTAGGAAGAATGTATTGTATGTATTTGCAATTATCCAATAAGCTGTGTTAAATGGAATTTGCATTAGCTATCATTTAATTAGAAATTATTAACCTTATCTGATGGATGGACTCTTACTCCTAATTATTTAGACATTGCAACTTCATTTTGTGGAGGTTGCGAATATCTAAAATTTTAGGAAATTTCTTATTCAACCGAACTACCTCCTCATTAGCATATATTAATAAGGTTTTATAAAGGATCTTCAAGTTCAATATAATTGGACTATATGTATGATCCGTTGATCTTTTTAGAGGATGTATATTTTGTTGAAATTGTAATAAAAAATTACTTTAATTCTATTTTGAATTTGAATATAAAGACAGTACTTTCTACAGATTAAAGTTGGATAAGAGACTTTGAAATATATTACACTTTGCCAGAAATATCATTTCTTAGCTTGAATGAAGGTTGTTAAGACTAAATTGGTGATAGATGTTTAAATTGTAGAGATGGTTGGATTGAAGATGAATATTAATCGTACTGCATACCAATTTGTGGGGATACAATCATTCAAGGGTATGAAGAATGTGATGATGGCAATTTAATATCCAATGATGGTTGTTTTCAATGCAAATATTAATGCAATGATTCTTGCAAAACTTGCATTTTTGGAATTTGTAAACTATGTCTTAATGGTTTTGTTCTTAATGAAAATAATAATTGTGAACCATAATGTGGGGATGGCATTGTGATTCCTTACTCAACTGAACAATGTGATGTTAAAAGTGAAAACGATTTAAACGGTTGTAAAGATTGTAGATATATGTCAATTCCTTATTGTTAATAAAGTTATTTTTCAACCTGTTTAGAGTGCTATTAAGGATTTTCTATTTTAGATAATGTATGTTACCCATATTGTGGAGATAAAAGGGCTCTTGAATAAATTGAGTAATTAAATGATAGTAATTTAACAATTTATGTTAATTGTATTTTTTGTGAACAAAGATTTTGTGGATTAAAATGTAAAGATGGATATGAGTATATTAATTAAAGTTGTAATCCCATTTGTGGAGATCAAATTGTCACTATTGAAGAGGAATGTGATGATGGCAATACTATCATGTTCGATGGTTGTTTTGATTGTAATTATTCTTGTCCAGAAAATTGTCATGATTGTTATTAAGGTATTTGTTTTGAGTGTAAAAGTCAATATATAATTTAAGAATCAAATCAATGTAAATTATAAGTAATTTGTGGAGATGGATTAGTTTAATAATAAGAGGAATGTGATGATGGAAACAATTAAGCATCTGATGGTTGCATGAATTGTTTAATTGAATAAAATTGGGTATGCAACTCAATAATATCAGATTCTCCAAGCTAATGTATGTATATAAAAGCTCCCCATTTAGTCATTAATTATCTCAATATGACTCAAAATAAATAATATTTAAGCATCTAATTTAATTAATAAGTAAAAGTTTAAACTTATTAATTATTATCAAAAACTATTTCTTTAAAATTAGTGAATATAGACAAATACAATTGGAATAGTAGTCTTTAGATAATATAGGATGTTGGATCTGATGTAAATTTTGGAGAATATGTTTTAGAAATAGAGATTTTCTAATTAATTGATTTTAGACCTACCTTGATAATCTCATTAAATCAATAGGTTTATAATATAGAAAATGCTGTCTTAGTTGACTATTCAAAATCTATAACATTAGATTTTCCAAAATATCTTAATGAAGTGCAAATGGAATATTCATTAAGATTAAAAAATACCAATATGTACATCATATATATTTTGGCTGTGATAACTGCACTAAGTTTATTATTTGGAACTGGAGATATATTTGTTGAAATTTTGGCCATTTTATAATACTAATAATACTTAAGATATATGAATTTAAAATTTCCATTAAATTTAGAAATATATTTTTCTATTAATGATATGTTATCTATCTAACCTTTATTAGATTTTATTAATTTTCAAATGATCTTTACATTTATCAATATTTAAACTGACTAAGAATATTCAGAAGGAAAAATAATTAAATAAAATTCTAATTTGATTATAAATCTTTCATCTCAAATAATTTAATGTATAATTTGTTTACTTCTTATGATAATTTTGAAATGGATTAAAAAAGTGATATATAATTGGATATTTTGTTCAAGATATTTTGAATGTATGTCATCATTATCTAAATGTTTAAGTCCTTCTATAATTTTTAAGTTTAGCTAACTTTTCTATAATAATTGTTGGAGTATTATTCAATTAGATAAGATAATTTCTTTTTAAGGATTATAATAAGCCTTATTATTAAATGGTTGGGATATGATATTTAAAATATTGTTGTATACAAGAAACATTTAAACTAATAATTACTTAGATATTTTTCAGATAATTATAGCAAGCATAATTCTTATATTATATTTTTTTGTAATATTCAATAATTTAAAAGGTAGAAATTAAAAATTATAAATCTAAAAACAGAAAAGTTTTGAAATCCTTAATTTTATAAGATAATTCTTATTTTTATTATTTTTGATTTATGTATAAAGTTCGTAGCTACTTTAATTAGGATTACTCCTTTTAACAAATATTTTCGAGATCAATTTAATATATAATTATCGTTGCATCTTTACAAAATCAAATTATATAGTTTAGATGTTTCTTGAGATATCAGTACTTATATATATGCTAAGTTCATTCTTGTATATAGAAGAGTTTAATTAACATTTTAATGAAGCACAAAAGATATTTTTAGGATGGATCTAGGCATTAATATTATCTTAAGCCATAATTATTGAATTGATGATAATCATATATAAGGTTTACATATTGTTAAAAAAAAAATGCATAAATATGTCACAATATGAATAAAATACTAATAGTAAGCTTTAGGAATAATAGATCTAACCAAATAAAAGGATTATATTCAAAATTGATTGAAAATTTTATTAAAAAAAATTCTACAAATTTATGAAAATCTCTATCAATATAAATATATTTTTTTATTGGTCATATTTAATAATTTTAATTGTACTCTTTTGATATTATATTTAGTATATTCGATAATAATTTTTACAAATTATTTTAAGTAAGGGTAAAATAAAGTACCTTCAAGTAGGCTAGCATTAAAAGATTATGATTAATTTATAAAATAGACATCCTATTCAATTAAGGGTTTATTTTCAACCGCAATATAATTTTTCAAGACTAATATTTAATTATTAAGGAAAAAGAGTTTAAATAACTGCTTTTTATCAATGATTATTTGATAACTTTACACAGGAATGTAAGGTTGACTTCTGTTTATTAATTTCTATTGATGATAACCCGATTCTTCTTTATTATATTATATTTCAATTATTTTTTCTTCTTCTTCTCATTTACTATAATATGAAATACAAAATACAGAAACAAATTAAATCTTAAATCTGTTTTTAATATTAATTTTCATTTTCGTTTATTTAGACAAATTATTTCTTTTACTCTTTATTCTCTTGATAAATTATTAATTGTTTATAGACTTATTTTGATAAAATTTTAATAAATTAATAAATTAACAAATGAAATATAGTTATTAGTATATCTGTAAATCACTATCATATAAAAAAGTAATCAACTTGAAAATCTAAATTCAAAACATCATAATATCTCCAATACCTAGTTTTTATCGTCTATTGATGCGTTTAGCTTAATGAAAGCATTTTTTAAGCACAATTTATGAATATAAACTCTAAAGATATTCCATTCTAAATTAAAAAATCTAATTCCAAATAAAAAAGTTTATTTCATAAAAAATAAATATTCTTACCTAAATGGCAAGTACTCTTACTTTTCAATAAGTACTTACCAATTATATATTTATTAGAAAAATAAGTGGGGAATCATAAGAAAACTCGTGACATGGAAGAGATTGATAATTTAGAGGTACTTTATTTTATTAATATTTTATTCTTAATTATAAGCTTTTAAATTAAAAAATTTATATGTTCTACAAAAAATATAATATTATAAAATAAATTCTTATTTATTTGGAAGGATTTCAGCATATTAGCAATATTTTTGAACTTGAAAATTATTCAATAATCTAGCTAAAATGAAGAATAATTAAATTCAACTTTATGTTTTATTAGAAAAACTAAACTTACCCTTACTAATACTATAATTCTATTTTATTTTCATAATATAATTTTCCTAATACACTTTCTATTCTGGCCTTTTAATTGCCTTCTTCAATTTTAGAATAAATACATAACTATAGAAATCCATAATTTAGATTGATATTTCTTACATCAGCATTTGATAAAGCAAGATTTATTCTTTAAATTATACCATTTCATCTTCAAACAGTTAAGGGATTCAAGGGAATAAATTAATTTTAAGATCTCCATAAAGAATTTATACTTTATCTTGAGAGTTTTGAATTATTAACTATAAGATCTTGTCCATTTTAAAAAGAATTAATTAATATAATTGTTTTAACTAAATTTAGAAATTATAAAATTATCAAGAATGTAAATTTTTAAAGAATAAATTTATGTAATTTATATTATATTTAGATATCTTCTAATTGAAACAGCCCTACTTTTAAATCATAAATAATTTTTTTACATCAACATAAAATTATTCTATTAAAGAATATTAAATATAAATGGTAAATTATTAGTAGTCACCAAATAAATATGAAATAACTCATATTTAATAGAATTATTATTAAATTTGTTTAATAGAATTATATATAGGATATATAAATTGTAATTATATATCTTTATTTACCTATATTAAATTACAATAAATATGGATCAAATAAATATTTAATAAACCCTAAACCAGGGGTAACAAGTATATACTTAGCCATAATTCTTTCCAAAAATTCGTTCGAATTAACTTTAATAATTCTAACAATAACCGAGTGTATAATCAAATAATGAGAAACAAGAATCAGATATGAAACCAATGGAAGATGATGAATTCATTAATCCTTCGAAAGAAGATGTAAAAGAAGCAGCTAAAAAATATGATCTAAACAAAGATCTATCTTTTGAAATTAGAGCACTTAATAAAATTTAAAAATCTTCCAGTGTCAAGGATTAATACATTCCTGCTATGATTAGTCTAAAAGCAAAAGAGAACTATATTGAAGCAAATGATTTGGGTAATAGAGTTGGAGTAGATTTGGTAAAATATATATCTATATTAAGATTTGTTTAATCGATAAAAGTGGTAGTATGATGGGTGAGAAAATTGAGATGGTCAGATAAACATTAATGGTTTTACTTAATTTTTTAGGAGCAAAGGATAGATTATAATTGATTATTTTTAATCATCGTGCAGAAAGAATAACTCCTTTAAAATGTATAACTGAGGGAAATAGGGGATATTTTGAAGAAAAAATCAAAGGAATTAATGCAACTGGAAATACTAATATATCCAGTGCAACCGAAATTGCTTTTTAGCAATTAAAAGATAGAAAATATAGAAATAATGTTACTTCTATATTTTTATTATCAGATGGTCAAGATGATTAAGCTTTTACTAATATTAAATAACAAATTAATTAAGTTGAAGAAGTTTTCACTTTACATACCTTTGGATTTGGTAAAGATAATGATGCTAAAATGATGACATCAATCAGTAATCTCAAAGAAGGTAGCTTCTATTTTGTTTAGGAAATAAATTTATTGGATGAATTTTTTGTAGATGCTTTGGGGGAATTAGTATCAGTAATTGGTGAAAAAATATAAATTTAATTATAAATTACATCTTAACCTCCTTTTTAAGATGTTAAAATATCTAAGACCTTTGGTACTATGTGGAATTAAAACGAAGCTAAATATTAAATCCTAGTACCATAATTAGCTTGTGGTACAAGAAAAGATTATGTATTTGAATTAATGCTCCCATAAATTAATTTTTAAATTAATGACAATTAAAGAAATGTAAATGTATTAGAAGCTTAACTTACAATTACTGACCCTTAAAGTAAATAGGTGATTTAAAAACAAGACATTCTTGAATTAGTTATTCTTAATGAAAATGATGAACTTAATTAAAATGAAGATGATATAGATGTATAATGCTAATATTTCAGAGTCAAAGGAACAGATGTAATCAATTCTGCTAGATAACTCTGTGAGATCAATTAAAATGATAAAGCTCAAAATTTGATCAAAAATATCCTGATACAAATTAAAAGTAAAGAAAAAGTAGCTGCTTCAAATGAATGTTAAGGTATTATTCAGGATTTGGAATAAGCATTATCAGCTTCTCAAAAAAAAGAGTATATTGATTATGGTAGGGCTTAAATGTTTTAGATGGTTAATAATAATTACTAATAAAAAGGAATCAATTCATAATTTTTTAATGGACAACAAATATAATAGTAGATTCCAGCTTAAAATTAAAATTTTTGTT